ATTGTCAAAGTTTACAGAACATCAGTATTGAAGTGTTTAAAACATACCAGTGTAGAACTTTTCAGGATATCAGTATCGAATTGATTACAGCAAATAAATGTAGAACTGTTTACAGCATATCAGTGTAGAACTGTTTACAGAAATCAATGTAGAACTGTTTACAGCATATCTGTGTGAAACTTTTTATAGCATATCGATGTAGAACTGTTTATAGCATATCAGTCTAGAACTGTTTCAGTATATCAGTGCAAAACTGTTTACAGCATGTCAATGTAGAACTGTTTACAGGAATCAGTGTAGAATTGTTACAGCATATCAGCGTAGAGATGTTTACAGGAATCAATATAGAACTGTTTACAGCATATCAGTGTAGAACTGTTTACGGGAATCAGTGTGGAACTGTTCACAGCATATCAGTGTAGAACTGTTTACATGAATCAATGTAGAACTGTTCACAGCATATCAATGTGGAACTGTTTACAGTATATTAATGTAGAACTGTTTGCAGCATATTAATGTAGAACTGTTTACAGCATATTAATGTAAAACTGTTTACTGCATATTTTAGAACAGTTTACAGCATATCAATGTAAAACAGTTATCAGCATATTAATGTAAAACTGTTTACAGCATATCATTGTTGAAATGTTTACAGCATGTCAGCCTAGAACTTTGCAGGATATCAATGTCAAAATGTTTACACCATCTTTCTGTTGAACAATTTGTGACAGCTCTGTTAGCTTATTTGCTTTGCATCTATAGGTTTTTTCCTCTCTGTGGGTTTTCCCCCCACTCTTTTGTCTTTCACTTCTTTTTGTTTTCGGCCTTAAAAATTCTCGGTTGATATTTGTTGGCTTGTATTTATCACATAATTAGTGTGATTGCGTAAGTCTGTGCGTGTGTGTGTGTGCCCCTGTGTTTGCATGCCTTTGTGTGTGTGTGCATGCCTCTGTGTGTGTGCATGCCTCTGTGTGTTCATGCATGTGTGGGCATGCATGTGTGTGTAACATTTTTTACATCATAACTTTCTGTATTGGTTACAAAATTGTAACATTGCTATTAACAGGTCAACTTCACCTTCCAGTTTTTGAGGAAAAAGTTTTTCATATTTTCCCAATTCATGTATGATGAACATATTAAGTCCAGACTGATCAAGGACTGGAAGTTTTTCCGAGAGAATCACCTGCAGACTGACCAGAAGGTGAGGCTTATGAATGTCTGTCCTCTTCTACGACTAACAATGTTATCAGGTCCATCAGTCCACATCTATGAGTATAGTCAGTCTCAGCAACATGTCGGTGGCTGCAGTGGGGCAGAGAAGTAAATTGGTGGGATACAGTCTTAAAGCTGTAAGAGATATAGGACTCACAAATAAAGAAGTGAAACACATAAATAAAGCAGTAAGAGCTGTTGGATACATAAGTAAAGCTGTGATACACAGAAATAGAGTGCTAAGAGCTGTTGGAGACATAAATGAAGCTGTGATACACAGAAATAGAGTGCTGAGAGCTGTTGAAGACATAAGTAAAGCTGTGATACACAGAAATAGAGTGCTGAGAGCTGTTGGAGACATAAGTAAAGCTGTGATACACAGAAATAGAGTGCTGAGAGCTGTTGGATACATAAGTAAAGCTGTGATACACAGAAATAGAGTGCTGAGAGCTGTTGGATACATAAGTAAAGCTGTGATACACAGAAATAGAGTGTTGAGAGCTGTTGGAGACATAAATGAAGCTGTGATACACAGAAATAGAGTGCTGAGAGCTGTTGGATACATAAATAAAGCTGTGATACTCATAAATAGATTAGTGAGAGCTGTTGGAGACATAAATGAAGCTGTGATACACAGAAATAGAGTGCTGAGAGCTGTTGGAGACATAAATGAAGCTGTGAGACACAGAAATAGGGTGCTGAGAGCTGTTGGATACATAAATAAAGCTGTGATACTCATAAATAGATTAGTGAGAGCTGTTGGAGACATAAATGAAGCTGTGAGACACAGAAATAGAGTGCTGAGAGCTGTTGGAGACATAAATGAAGCTGTGAGACACAGAAATAGAGTGCTGAGAGCTGTTGGATACATAAATGAATCTGTGAGACACAGAAATAGAGTGCTGAGAGCTGTTGGAGACATAAATAAAGCTGTGATACACAGAAATAGAGTGCTGAGAGCTGTTGGAGACATAAATGAAGCTGTGAGACACAGAAATACAGAGTGCTGAGAGCTGTTGGAGACATAAATGAAGCTGTGAGACACAGAAATAGAGTGCTGAGAGCTGTTGGAGACATTAATGAAGCTGTGAGACACAGAAATAGAGTGCTGAGAGCTGTTGGAGACATAAATAAAGCTGTGATACACAGAAATAGAGTGCTGAGAGCTGTTGGAGACATAAATAAGGCTGTGATACACAGAAATAGAGTGCTGAGAGCTGTTGGAGACATAAATAAAGCTGTGATACACAGAAATAGAGTGCTGAGAGCTGTTGGAGACATAAATAAAGCTGTGATACACAGAAATAGAGTAGTAAGAGCTGTTGTATACATAAATAAAGATGTGAGAGCATTATAATACATTTTTTTAAAAACCCAGTGAGATCTGCTTGCCACATAAATGAAGCACCAAGACATAAATAAAGCAGCCAGAACTCGGATACATTAAAAAAAAAAAGCACTGCCACACAGAAATAAAGCAGTAAGACCTGTTATATATAGAAATAAAACAATGAGAGCTGCATGATACATAAATAAAGCTCTGAGACACAGAAAGTGTACATTTGTTCATCCATCACAAGTAATCAGGACCACTCTTTCTTTCACTCATCATGAAACTGCAGTTGAATGTTTGTGAGTCTGGAGGTGACTTGTAAGTCCAACATGTGCCCGGAAGAGTCAAAGACAATGAGATCAGGGCGCAATGTCTGTAGAAAAAGGGCCTGTTTGACGGTTCTTTCTGCCCTTGTTCCCAGATTGTTGCACCTTTGGATATATGTGCGCCATAAAGTCCGGTCTTGTGCGGCAGCCTCCCAGGTGTCAGGGTTTATACTGAAGGCCTTCAATGATGCCTTTAATGCATCCTTGAAGCGCTTTTTCTGACCACCATGAGAACGCTGACCTTCATGTATCTCACCATAAAAGATTATTTCTAGGAGCTGATTTGGCCGGCCCATTGAATCTGTGACTACATCAGAATGATATTAATGCTGAAAATACCAGCCCTGTCCAGTACAACAGTGTCCGGGACAATGTCTTGCCACTTCATGTTCAGTATCTTTCTCAGACAGACTGTATGGAAGTGGGGGGGGGGGGGGGGCTGACATTCATGTACAACCTGCCAAATGTGCGGCTGGCTTTAGAGATCCTGGAGCTCACCTCATTGTCTTCGGTGACATTCTAAGGCAATGTACTACCAAGGTATGTGCATTCATCCACAACCTTTAATTTCTTGCCATATACAAAAATGGTTGGTTCAGTATACACTTGGCCTGGTACTGGTTGGTACACAATTTTGGTTTTCTCAGTGTTAGTGGTAAGCTCAAAATTGGTACAGGCCTTAAAGAAACTGTCCATGTTATACTGCAAATCTGCTTCTGAACTGGCATAAAGAGCACAGTCGTCAGCAAACAGAAGATCCCTAATAATACATGATTTAACTTTGGTTTTCATTTTGAGCCACCAAAGATTAAAAAGTTTTCTAGAACTGGCTGACACAGTTAGCGGGGGACATGTTTGTGTTTGCTTTTGAAGGAAAATTTCATTTAAACAAATTAGTGATGCTTGACATGTGAAGAACAGAACTAAACTTGACACAGGTGTATTGAGGAGGTCAAGTGATTTGGACCTGGAGACAAGGATATTGGACCTTAGGGGTGACCAGCAAATAAGGGAGGTCAAGTGAACAGGATCCGGAGACAAGGATATTGGACCTTAGGGGTGACCAGCAAATAAGGGAGGTCAAGTGATCAGGATCCGGAGACAAGGATATTGGACTTAGGGGTGACCAGCAGATAAGGGAGGTCAAGTGATCAGGATCTGGAGACAAAGATATTGGACTTAGGGGTGACCAGCAGATAAGGGAGGTCAAGTGATCAGGGTCTGGATATTGGACCTTGGGGGTTACCAGCAGATAAGGGAGGTCAAGTGATCAGGGTCTGGAGACAAGGATATTGAACCTTAGGGATGACCAGCAGATAAGGGAGGTCATGTGATCAGGATCTGGAGACAAGGATATTGGACTTTAGGGGTGACCAGCAGATAAGGGAGGTCACGTGATCCGGATCTGGAGACAAGGATATTGGACCTTAGGGGTGACCAGCAGATAAGGGAGGTCACGTGATCCGGATCTGGAGACAAGGATATTGGACTTTAGGGGTGACCAGCAAATAAGGGAGGTCACGTGATCAGGATCTGGAGACAAGGATATTGGACCTTAGGGTGACCAGAAAGAGAGGGAGGTCAAGTGAATGGGACCAGGGGACTGGATTTAGAGATGACAAGTTAGACGATGGCGGTCAGGTGAACGATACGAGGAGACTGGTCTTATCAGTGAGCAGATAGATGAGGTTTGGACATTCATAGCAACAGGTTTTGTGAGGCAGTTAGAATCGGTTTTTTAGTATTTAAGATATACTTTGATTTACTTTCTTACTGTCTAAAGTGAATAATTGTGAAATAATTTTGCAGTTACTTTAAATTCTATTTTGTGATAGAATTCACCCATGTCCAATATCACAAAGTCGTCCACTCTTGTATCATATGAAAACTTAGACTACCCCTCGTGGCAGACTCAGCGGTTTACAATAGTATATGTCAACATTAAACTTTCCATGTACACTTGTCTGGACGAGGAATGTCATATGCATTTTTTTAGCCTCATATACGCATAAACATTAATTTTGCACATCAAAATAAATAAATAAGTAATGGAACATCTAAATAACTAAATGTGAAAAATAATATGAAGTATAAATGAGTGTTCAGTTTGCACATCAGAATGCCAAAATTGAAAGTAGATATATCAAGATAGTATTATCACCTGGAATTTTGATCACTCCTCAAGTTCTTGCTTATTAAGCAATAGCTGATGAAAGCAATGGCATAAATGTTTACAGTTATTAAGCACTACAGTCGCTGTTTAAAATTAAAAAAAAACTGTTTTATCTCACAGAGCCCTTTGCTGTGAATGTCCAAACCTTGTCTATCTGCTCATCTCTCATTGCAGTCTTCTTGTCCCCAGATCCCGCTCACTTGACCTCTGTCGTCTGTCTGCTTACCTCTCATTCCACTCCTTGTTCCCAGATCATGCTCACTTGACCTCCGTCGTCTGTCTGCTTACCTCTTATTCCAGTCTCCTTGTCCGAAGGTCCGGGCTACTTGACCTGCTTGAAATACCTGTGTCAAGTCTATTTGTATTCACACATCAAGCATCTTTAATTTGTTTAACTTACTTTGACTGTCTAGTGGGTGTTTGGTAACTCATGTCCAGTCTGTTCTACTGTTACACTGGTTACCTCTTTCCTCTATTCAGTCATATACACAATCACATGACCTGTTCATGTTTGTATATCTATCAGGCAATGCCATGGGTTACGTAAGAATGATTCGCTCTGGAGGTCTCCACTGTTGCAGCAACGCCATTCGTTTCATCCCTGACCTTGAGGATATCATCAACTTTGAGGAGGCCTGCAAGGAAGAAAATCTCTCATCTGAAACTCAGACTGCAGCCAAGTAAGCGTGTATGCTGTACCGTAGGTTTCTGTTGTACTGTAGATGTAGTCTGTACCATAGGTTTCTGTTGTACTGTAGATGTATGCTGTACCATAGGTTTCTGTTGTACTGTAGATGTATGCTGTACAAAAGGTTTTTGTTGTACTGTAGATGTATGCTGTACCGTAGGTTTTTGTTGTAATGTAGATGTATGCTGTACCGTAGGTTTCTGTTGTACTGTAGATGTATGCTGTACCACAGGTTTCTGTTGTACTCTAAATGTAAGCTGTGCCATTCTACTGTGTAGGTGTATGCTGTAGATATTGTATGTTTGTGACCTAATATATGGGATATTATATAATTGTAAGTGAGCTACTATGGTGGATAATATATGTTCATAAGTGATCTACTGTTGTATGTTTGTAAGTGACCTTCTGTTTTTGTTGTATGTTTGTAAGTGACCTTCTGTTTTTGTTGTATGTTTGTAAGTGACCTTCTGTTTTTGTTGTATGTTTGTAAGGGACCTTCTGTTTTTTGTTGTATGTTTGTAAGAGACCATCTATTTTTTGTTGTATGTTTGTAAGAGACCATCTATTTTTTGTTGTATGTTTGTAAGAGACCATCTATTTTTTGTTGAATGTTTGTAAGGGACCATCTAATTGTTGTTGTATGTTTGTAAGGGACCTTCTATTATTGTCAAGAACCTGTTTTACTTCCCTGCAGGCAAATACCTCATTGGTCCCCTCATGACAGATAATTTCTATCCTAAGACACAATTACGCCAACACTGTCATAGTATACACATAGATTTTCAATATACTTTGCAAGAAATTGCCACCAATTTACCTTTCCTAACCAGCCATGAGGGGTTACAAACGCCCCCACCTGGTAAAACCTGGGTTCGAACCCACTCCTCCGATACAAATTCTTCTTTGATGCTACTGTAACTTATACCAGGACACCAATGTTACTGCACACTTATTGCTAGAGTGTGTTGGCAGACTATGTCACAGAAACCAAACAAGTCCCTCATGTACCACTTTACTAACATAACATTTTACGATTGCAAGATCAATTAATGCTGTAATGCATCATTGTTTCACTTTTATAGAATCATCTGATTGTTGTTTCAGAAACCTGGATAATGTCATCAACAACTTGGCTAAAAACTTTGCAGAAGGAACTGAGTATTTTAAGGTTGGTCTCTATTGAAATGTTCATTTATTATGATTGGTAATTGTGATGTTTGTAGTTGTAAGATTAGTTATTAGTTCTGTGTTTGTTGTAAGACTTATGTAAACCTTATGTATCCCTTAACATCTGATGTGGTCAAAGAGGAAGTAAGGGAGAAGATGTAAGATGTGTTATTGAAAAGTTTATCTTAGGCTGGTTGCTTTAATGTTGGTTGTTGCAAGAATGGTTGTGGTAAGGGTGGTAGTGTCACTATGGTTGTTTTAAGGGCGGTAGTGTCAAGATGGTTGTTGTAAGGGTGGTAGTGTCAAGATGGTTGTTGTAAGGGTGGTAGTGTCACTATGGTTGTTTTAAGGGTGGTAGTGTCAAGATGGTTGTGGTAAGGGTGGTAGTGTCAAGATGGTTGTGGTAAGGGTGGTAGTGTCAAGATGGTTGTTGTAAGGGTGGTAGTGTCAAGATGGTTGTTTTAAGGGTGGTAGTGTCAAGATGGTTGTTGTAAGGGTGGTAGTGTCAAGATGGTTGTTTTAAGGGTGGTAGTGTCACGATGGTTGTGGTAAGGGTGGTAGTGTCAAGATGGTTGTTTTAAGGGTGGTAGTGTCAAGATGGTTGTGGTAAGGGTGGTAGTGTCAAGATGGTTGTGGTAAGGGTGGTAGTGTCAAGATGGTTGTGGTAAGGGTGGTAGGGTCAAGATGGTTGTGGTAAGGGTGGTAGGGTCAAGATGGTTGTGGTAAGGGTGGTAGGGTCAAGATGGTTGTGGTAAGGGTGGTAGTGTCAAGATGGTTGTGGTAAGGGTGGTAGGGTCAAGATGGTTGTGGTAAGGGTGGTAGTGTCACTATGGTTGTGGTAAGGGTGGTAGTGTCAAGATGGTTGTGGTAAGGGTGGTAGTGTCAAGATGGTTGTGGTAAGGGTGGTAGTGTCAAGATGGTTGTGGTAAGGGTGGTAGTGTCAAGATGGTTGTGGTAAGGGTGGTAGGGTCAAGATGGTTGTGGTAAGGGTGGTAGTGTCACTATGGTTGTGGTAAGGGTGGTAGGGTCAAGATGGTTGTGGTAAGGGTGGTAGTGTCAAGATGGTTGTGGTAAGGGTGGTAGGGTCAAGATGGTTGTGGTAAGGGTGGTAGTGTCACTATGGTTGTGGTAAGGGTGGTAGTGTCACTATGATGGTTGTGGTAAGGTCAAGTTGTGTTAGTGTGGTAGATGGTTGTGGTAAGGGTGGTAGTGTCAAGATGGTTGTGGTAAGGGTGGTAGTGTCAAGATGGTTGTGGTAAGGGTGGTAGTGTCAAGATGGTTGTGGTAAGGGTGGTAGGGTCAAGATGGTTGTGGTAAGGGTGGTAGTGTCACTATGGTTGTGGTAAGGGTGGTAGGGTCAAGATGGTTGTGGTAAGGGTGGTAGTGTCAAGATGGTTGTGGTAAGGGTGGTAGTGTCAAGATGGTTGTTGTAAGGGTGGTAGTGTCAAGATGGTTGTGGTAAGGGTGGTAGTGTCACGATGGTTGTTTTAAGGGTGGTAGTGTCAAGATGGTTGTGGTAAGGGTGGTAGTGTCACTATGGTTGTTTTAAGGGTGGTAGTGTCAAGATGGTTGTGGTAAGGGTGGTAGTGTCACTATGGTTGTTTTAAGGGTGGTAGTGTCAAGATGGTTGTGGTAAGGGTGGTAGTGTCACTATGGTTGTTGTAAGGGTGGTAGTGTCAAGATGGTTGTGGTAAGGGTGGTAGTGTCACTATGGTTGTTTTAAGGGTGGTAGTGTCAAGATGGTTGTGGTAAGGGTGGTAGTGTCACTATGGTTGTTTTAAGGGTGGTAGTGTCACTATGGTTGTTGTAAGGGTGGTAGTGTCAAGATGGTTGTTATAAGGGTGGTAGTGTCACGATGGTTGTGGTAAGGGTGGTAGGGTCAAGATGGTTGTTGTAAGGGTGGTAGTGTCAAGATGGTTGTGGTAAGGGTGGTAGTGTCACGATGGTTGTTGTAAGGGTGGTAGTGTCACGATGGTTGTGGTAAGGGTGGTAGTGTCACGATGGTTGTGGTAAGGGTGGTAGGGTCAAGATGGTTGTGGTAAGGGTGGTAGTGTCAAGATGGTTGTGGTAAGGGTGGTAGTGTCACTATGGTTGTTGTAAGGGTGGTAGTGTCAAGATGGTTGTTATAAGGGTGGTAGTGTCACGATGGTTGTGGTAAGGGTGGTAGTGTCACTATGGTTGTTGTAAGGGTGGTAGTGTCAAGATGGTTGTTATAAGGGTGGTAGTGTCACGATGGTTGTGGTAAGGGTGGTAGTGTCAAGATGGTTGTTGTAAGGGTGGTAGTGTCAAGATGGTTGTTTTAAGGGTGGTAGTGTCAAGATGGTTGTTATAAGGGTGGTAGGGTCAAGATGGTTGTTGTAAGGGTGGTAGTGTCAAGATGGTTGTGGTAAGGGTGGTAGTGTCACGATGGTTGTTGTAAGGGTGGTAGTGTCACGATGGTTGTGGTAAGGGTGGTAGTGTCACGATGGTTGTGGTAAGGGTGGTAGGGTCAAGATGGTTGTGGTAAGGGTGGTAGTGTCAAGATGGTTGTGGTAAGGGTGGTAGTGTCACTATGGTTGTTGTAAGGGTGGTAGTGTCAAGATGGTTGTTATAAGGGTGGTAGTGTCACGATGGTTGTGGTAAGGGTGGTAGTGTCACTATGGTTGTTGTAAGGGTGGTAGTGTCAAGATGGTTGTTATAAGGGTGGTAGTGTCACGATGGTTGTGGTAAGGGTGGTAGTGTCAAGATGGTTGTTGTAAGGGTGGTAGTGTCAAGATGGTTGTTGTAAGGGTGGTAGTGTCAAGATGGTTGTTATAAGGGTGGTAGTGTCACGATGGTTGTGGTAAGGGTGGTAGTGTCAAGATGGTTGTTATAAGGGTGGTAGTGTCACGATGGTTGTGGTAAGGGTGGTAGTGTCAAGATGGTTGTTTTAAGGGTGGTAGTGTCAAGATGGTTGTTGTAAGGGTGGTAGTGTCAAGATGGTTGTTATAAGGGTGGTAGTGTCATGATGGTTGTTTTAAGGGTGGTAGTGTAAAGATGGTTGTTTTAAGGGTGGTAGTGTCAAGATGGTTGTGGTAAGGGTGGTAGTGTCAAGATGGTTGTGGTAAGGGTGGTTTTCTCAAGATTGTTGTGTTGTTTTGGGGATGGTTGTTTTAAGTAGGATTGTTATAAATTTTGTTTTCTCAAGATGATGGTAAAAAGGATGGTTGTAAAAAAATGGTTGTTGTAAGGTCACTTGTCTCATTATGATTTTGTGTAAGGTCGGTTGTCTTAGTATGATTGTTATAAGTTCTGTTGTCTCAGTATGACTATTGCAAAGATGGCTGTCTCAGTGTTATTGTTGTAAGGATGATTGTATCAAGACGGTTGTTATATGACCATTTCGGGAAAATTCTCATCTTTGAGGGTCAATGTCACTAGTTCGCCCTCTTTTAAGTCTTGTAGACTGAAGGTTACTCAAGTGTTTTCTTTCCCACTATTTATACAGAGATGCTGGAGTGTGTCGTTAACTGTCTAGGTTCTCTATGGGTGATTTTCTAATTGCATAAGATATTTCCACACCTAAATATACTAATTTAATTGTCAGTTGGCCTTCTAGAAGATTTCCTGAACTACCAGAAAACAAATGTGGCAAGGCTGTCTCTCTCTGATATGGCACGTCAATGATTACATCAGATGCTGATTATATAACTAGGTTATTCATATGCAAATAACTCTATGCTAATAAACAAATAATGGTTCTAGAAAGGAAATATCAAGGTCGCCAAGACTTGTTGATTATTCTAATTGTGCACAAATGATGATGTCTCCCTGTTATAAACTATGTCAACTGCGACTTTCTTGTTAGGTCTATAAGGCAAGTGAACAGACTGAACTTTTAGGTGAGGTAGGTAAGTTGTACCAGGACATCACACAAGCGATAAACACCCAGTAGTGACACAAAGGGCCTTCATGTGGATGAAGATCACCCTTGGAGAGGTCGCGGAAGCCCCATTCAGCCGTTAGACCACATTTTAGGCTCACCTATATTTAGGGCCCCCGGCAAAAGCCAGGGTTGGGCTTCCAAATAACAGCTGACATTTATGAGAAGACTGACAATATCGCTGAATGTCTGTAGAGAATCCAGGCCAATAGAACTGACTATGAATTTTGTGCTGTGTTTTACTGATTCCCAAGTGACTCATAAAGAGGATATCATGCACAGCTTTTAAGTCCCTGCTACCATCATGGGAACATCGGTACATGAGTTGAATACATCTGATGACTAAACCGGCATGAAGTCCAACTAGCTCTACCAATCTCCACACCTTGAAGCTGGTAACTTGCGACGTTTGTACACAACAGCACAAGCAGGACTCACTAATCACATCAGCACAACAGCACAAGCAGGACTCACTAATCACATCAGCACAAGCAGGACTCACTAATCACATCAGCACAACAGCACATGCAGGACTCACTAATCACATCAGCACAACAGCACAAGCAGGACTCACTAATCACATCAGCACAAGCAGGACTCACTAATCACATCAGCACAAGCAGGACTCACTAATCACATCAGCACAAGCAGGACATGCAGGACTCACTAATCACATCAGCACAACAGCACATGCAGGACTCACTAATCACATCAGCACAACAGCACAAGCAGGACTCACTAATCACATCAGCACAACAGCACATGCAGGACTCACTAATCACATCAGCACAACAGCACATGCAGGACTCACTAATCACATCAGCACAACAGCACATGCAGGACTCACTAATCACATCAGCACAACAGCACATGCAGGACTCACTAATCACATCAGCACAACAGCACAAGCAGGACTCACTAATCACATCAGCACAAGCAGGACTCACTAATCACATCAGCACAACAGCACATGCAGGACTCACTAATCACATCAGCACAACAGCACAAGCAGGACTCACTAATCACATCAGCACAAGCAGGACTCACTAATCACATCAGCACAAGCAGGACTCACTAATCACATCAGCACAAGCACGTCTCACTAATCACATCAGCACAAGCAGGACTCACTAATCACATCAGCACAAGCAGGTCTCACTAATCACATCAGCACAAGCAGGACTCACTAATCACATCAGCACAACAGCACATGCAGGACTCACTAATCACATCAGCACAACAGCACATGCAGGACTCACTAATCACATCAGCACAACAGCACAAGCAGGACTCACTAATCACATCAGCACAACAGCACATGCAGGACTCACTAATCACATCAGCACAACAGCACATGCAGGACTCACTAATCACATCAGCACAACAGCACATGCAGGACTCACTAATCACATCAGCACAACAGCACATGCAGGACTCACTAATCACATCAGCACAACAGCACATGCAGGACTCACTAATCACATCAGCACAACAGCACATGCAGGACTCACCAATCACATCAGCACAACAGCACATGCAGGACTCACTAATCACATCAGCACAACAGCACAAGCAGGACTCACTAATCACATCAGCACAACAGCACAAGCAGGACTCACTAATCACATCAGCACAACAGCACATGCAGGACTCACTAATCACATCAGCACAACAGCACATGCAGGACTCACTAATCACATCAGCACAACAGCACATGCAGGACTCACTAATCACATCAGCACAACAGCACATGCAGGACTCACTAATCACATCAGCACAACAGCACAAGCAGGACTCACTAATCACATCAGCACAACAGCACAAGCAGGACTCACTAATCACATCAGCACAACAGCACAAGCAGGACTCACTAATCACATCAGCACAACAAAACGGCACAAAGTCCGAACTGCCTATTAGTCTCCACAACTTGGAAATGATAACCTGCATCCGCATACAAAAACACCAGCAGGTCTCACTAATCACATCAGCACAAAAACACCAGCAGGTCTCACTAATCACATCAGCACAACACCAGCAGGTCTCACTAATCACATCAGCACAACAGCACAAGCAGGACTCACTAATCACATCAGCACAACAGCACATGCAGGACTCACTAATCACATCAGCACAACAACACCAGCAGGTCTCACTAATCACATCAGCACAACAACACCAGCAGGTCTCACTAATCACATCTATTTCTCATCTGCTTTTTTTTCATTCCCATACCTATCCATTCAGTACGTGCAAATCATTTTTGCTACGCTGAACTTCACACAGACACTACATAGTTCTCGGGGGCTACAAGTACTGTGACGTTCCCCAAGTCTCAGCTAATATTACAAGTACTGTGACGTTGCCCAGGTCTCAGCTAATATTACAAGTACTGTGACGTTGCCCAGGTCTCAGCTCATAGTACAAGTACTGTGACGTTGCCCAGGTCTCAGCTAATATTACAAGTACTGTGACGTTCCCCAGGTCTCAGCTAATAGTACAAGTACTGTGACGTTGCCCAGGTCTCAGCTAATATTACAAGTACTGTGACGTTGCCCAGGTCTCAGCTAATGTTACAAGTACTGTGACGTTGCCCAGGTCTCAGCTAATATTACAAGTACTGTTACGTTCCCCAGGTCTCAGCTAATATTACAAGTACTGTGACGTTGCCCAGGTCTCAGCTAATATTACAAGTACTGTGACGTTGCCCAGGTCTCAGCTAATATTACAAGTACTGTGATGTTCCCCAGGTCTCAGCTAATATTACAAGTACTGTGACGTTGCCCAGGTCTCAGCTAATATTACAAGTACTGTGACCTTCCCCAGGTCTCAGCTAATAGTACAAGTACTGTGACGTTGCCCAGGTCTCAGCTAATATTACAAGTACTGTGATGTTCCCCAGGTCTCAGCTAATATTACAAGTACTGTGACGTTGCCCAGGTCTCAGCTAATATTACAAGTACTGTGACGTTGTCCAGGTCTCAGCTAATAGTACGTGTACTGTGACGTTGCCCAGGTCTCAGCTAATATTACAAGTACTGTGACGTTGCCCAGGTCTCAGCTAATATTACAAGTACTGTGATGTTGCCCAGGTCTCAGCTAATATTACAAGTACTGTGATGTTCCCCAGGTCTCAGCTAATATTACAAGTACTGTGACGTTGCCCAGGTCTCAGCTAATATTACAAGTACTGTGACGTTGCCCAGGTCTCAGCTAATATTACAAGTACTGTGACGTTGCCCAGGTCTCTGCTAATATTACAAGTACTGTGACGTTCCCCAGGTCTCAGCTAATAGTACAAGTACTGTGACGTTGCCCAGGTCTCAGCTAATTTTACAAGTACTGTGACGTTCCCCAGGTCTCAGCTAATATTACAAGTACTGTGACGTTCCCCAGGTCTCAGCTAATAGTACAAGTACTGTGACGTTGCCCAGGTCTCAGCTAATATTACAAGTACTGAGACGTTCCCCAGGTCTCAGCTAATATTACAAGTACTGTGACGTTCCCCAGGTCTCAGCTAATATTACAAGCGCCAGCCACTCACTAAATATTCATGCCAGTTAGTAATCATGAAATGATTGAGACATTAATAGTAATATGTTCATGTTCCAGTCCCACTCATTCCATTATCATTCTGGCTGTCTTCTCTCAGTATTCATGTCGATTCAAGTGACACACAACAGGAGTGTCCCAAATGCTGTGCTGTTGATTCTTAACTCAACATTCAGCAACATGTAGTAAAGGATGGCACATTTGTTGATGTTTAGTGGATTGCTACAGGACAGATTTATATGTGTGAAAATATGTCATCTGTAATAAACCAAATAAACCATTTGTTATCCTGACCTGGTCTGCAGATGTTGGTTGATGTCTTTGCCCCGGAGTTTCGCAACAGCAAGAACATGCATCTGAGGAATTTCTTTGTCATCTTGCCACCACTTGTAAGTTCATCTACATTTTTAGAGCAGCGATACAGTTGTTACAGCAGTGTCATCTTGCCACCACTTGTAAGTTCATCTACATTTGTAGAGCAGCGAAACAGTTGTTACAGCAGTGTCATCTTGCCACCACTTGTAAGTTCATCTACATTTTTAGAGCAGCGAAACAGTTGTTACAGCAGTGTCATCTTGCCACCACTTGTAAGTTCATCTACATTTTTAGAGCAGCGATACAGTTGTTACAGCAGTGTCATCTTGCCACCACTTGTAAGTTCATCTACATTTTTAGAGCAGCGATACAGTTGTTACAGCAGTGTCATCTTGCCACCACTTGTAAGTTCACCTACATTTGTAGAGCAGCGAAACAGTTGTTACAGCAGTGATACATTTTCTAGAGCAGTGACACAGTTGTTAAAGTGGCGAAACAGTTGTTTGTTAGAGCAGCGACATATTTATTTTAGAGCAGTGAAACATTTTTTTTAGACCAGTGACACATTTTTTAAGAGCAGTGAGATATTTTTATTAGAACAGTGGCACAGTTGTTAGAGCAGTCATACAGTAGTAAGAGCAGTGGCACCAGTGTTACAGCAGTGATACACTGGTAAGAGCAGTGACACAGTTGTTTGTTAGAGCGGTAACATAGCTGTTAGAGCAGTGACACAGTTGTTAGAATGGTGACACAGTTGTTAGAGCAGTGACACAGTTGTTACAGCTGTGACACAGTTATTAGAGCAGTAACACAGTTGTTAGAGCAGTGGCACAGTTGTTAGAGCAGTGACACACTTGTAAGAGCAGTGGCACAGTTGTTAGAGCAGTCACACACTTGTAAGAGCAGTGACACAGTTGTTTAAGCAGTGACATAATGTTAGAGCAGTGACACAGTTGTTACAGCAGTGACACAGTTGTTGAAGCAGTGACACAGTTGTTAAAACAGTGACACAGTTGTTAAAACAGTGACACAGTTGTTACAGCATTGACACAGTTGTTAAAACAGTGACACAGTTGTTAAAGCATTGACACAGTTGTTACAGCATTGACACAGTTGTTAAAACAGTGACACAGTTGTTAAAGCATTGAAACAGTTGTTAAAACAGTGACACAGTTGTTACAGCATTGACACAGTTGTTAAAACAGTGACACAGTTGTTAAAGCATTGACACAGTTGTTACAGCAGTGACACAGTTGTTACAGCGGTGGCACAGTTGTTAGAGCAGTGACACAGTTATTAGAGCAGTGACACTGTTGTTAGAGCAGTGACACAGTTGTTAGAGCAGTGACACAGTTATTAGAGCAGTGACACAGTTATTAGAGCAGTGACACAGTTGTTAGAGCAGTGACACAGTTGTTAGAGCAGTGACACAGTTGTTAAAGCAGCGACACAGTTGTTGTTAAAGCAGCGACACAGTTGTTGTTAAAGCAGCGACACAGTTGTTGTTACGGCAGTGACACAGTTGTTACAGCAGTGACACAGTTGTTACAGCAGTGACACAGTTGTTACAGCAGTTAACACAGTTTTACAGCAGTGACACAGTTGTTATTATCAGACATGTTCAGCTATCTAATTTGTGTTTCTAAGATTGTTCAGTTCTCTTATTTATGGTTCTCAGATTTATTTCATTCTTTGTGTTGTGATTCTCAGTCTTGATCAATTCTCTATGTTTTGATTCTAATTATTTGTTTAGTTCTCTATGTTTTGATTCTAATAATTGATTTGTTCTCTATTTTGGGATTCTCAGACTTGATTGGTTCTGTATGTTGTGATTCTCAGACTTGATTGGTTCTGTATGTTGTGATTCTCAGACATGATTGATTTTCTATGTTGTCATTCTCAAACATGATTATTACTCTTCGGTGTTATTCTCAGCCTTGATCAGTTCTCTATGTTTTCATTCTCAGACTATCAACTTTGTGGAACACTCCATCAGCTGCAAGGAAAAGATGAACAGAAAAAACAAAGTTGGAGCAGCTTTCACAGATGATGGTTTTGCCATGGGTGAGTCAACTGCTGCTACTTGTATCTACAGACATCTTCCTGATTTAGCTTGTTGTTTCCCAGGTTTTGTATCTTCAGAAATGTCAGTGAGTTAACTTGTTGAGTTTTGTCTAGAAACATGTGTGCCCATGTTTTAACATATTCAGCTCCAGGTTGTGTGGTTATGATACATATAGTGTAAGCTGAACACACATGTTGTGTGGCTTTAATACATATAGTGTAAGCTGAACACACATGTTGTGTGGCTTTAATACATATAATATAAGCTGAACACACATGTTGTGTGGCTTTAATACATATAGTGTAAGCTGAACACACATGTTGTGTGGCTTTAATACATATAGTGTAAGCTGAACACACATATTGTGTGGCTTTAATACATATAGTGTAAGCTGAACACACATGCTGTGTTTGGCTTTAATACATATAGTGTAAGCTGAACACACATGTTGTGTGGCTTTTATACATATAGTGTAAGCTGAACACACATGTTGTGTGGCTTTAATACATATAGTGTAAGCTGAACACACATGCTGTGTGGCTTTAATACATATAGTGTAAGCTGAACACACATGTTGTGTGGCTTTAATACATATAGTGTAAGCTGAACACACATGTTGTGTGGCTTTAATACATATAGTGTAAGCTGAACACACATGGTGTGTGGCTTTAATACATATAGTGTAAGCTGAACACACATGCTGTGTGGCTTTAATACATATAGTGTAAGCTGAACACACATGCTGTGTGGCTTTTTATTACATATAGTGTAAGCTGAACACACATGTTGTGTGGCTTTAATACATATAGTGTAAGCTGAACACACATGCTGTGTGGCTTTAATACATATAGTGTAAGCTGAACACACATGTTGTGTGGCTTTAATACATATAGTGTAAGCTGAACACACATGTTGTGTGGCTTTAATACATATAGTGTAAGCTGAACACACATGGTGTGTGGCTTTAATACATATAGTGTAAGCTGAACACACATGCTGTGTGGCTTTAATACATATAGTGTAAGCTGAAAACACATGCTGTGTGGCTTTAATACATATAGTGTAAGCTGAACACACATGTTGTGTGGCTTTAATACATATAGTGTAAGCTGAACACACATGCTGTGTGGCTTTAATACATATAGTGTAAGCTGAACACACATGTTGTGTGGCTTTAATACATATAGTGTAAGCTGAACACACATGCTGTGTTGCTTGGGTCAGAAAGAGTTAACTTGTTCAGTTTCAGGTGTGTGTCTGTGTGTGTGTGTGTTTTTTTTTTTCATATGGATGTCCATAATTTAAATGTTGTATTGCTAGATGTTATGTCTACAAACATTGGTGTTCACTACTTAACTCATTCAGTCCCAGGTTGTGTGTCTACATACATATACAAGGTCCAACAATTAAATAATGAGTCTAATTCCTTGCAAATTAAAATAATCAACAGTTGAAGATATAACCTGTAGTTTATTCAAAGTAAGCTCCTTGTGCATTGATACAGTGAGTAGCACGATCTGACAAACATTGAAGCGACCTCTGTAGTTCTTCTATTGCTATGGCTTCCAAAGTCGATGTTACAGCCCTTTGGATGTCATCAATATTGTCAAAGAAGCATCCTTTTAATGGTAACTTAAATTTTGGGAATAGAAAATAATCACAGGGAGACAAACCTGGGGAATAGGGTGAAAGGCTGGGAACACACACTTGTTTTGGGGCCAAAAATTCCTTTTGATGATGTCTCGTGGGTACTCAACCCGCTGATGTTTTTGGTCATCAGACAACAAATGTGGTACAAACCTGCAAGCAAAATCTTGCACTAAAATTTTACGATGTATCTCTTTATTAACACCAGATTCATCTGCCATCATCCTGACAGTAAAAAAATGATCTTTTTGTATCCATTCAGTTACTTTTGCAATGAGTTCATCATTACAAACAGAAATTGGACATCCAGGTCTAGTTGCATTAGTAATCATTTCCACACCACTTTTGAATCGTGAATACCACCTGAAAATCTGTGCACGAGATAAACAATTATCCCCATTAACTTATCCCATCAATTCAGCTGACTCATTGGCCCTTTTTCTGAGTTTTTAACAGAATTTATTGTTAGCTTTTTGCTCCGTGCTGATTTCGAAACAATGCACATCTAACTAGGTCAGTAAAATGATGGCTTGTTTGTCGTCTGCTTATCAGACGGCGATGCAAAGTGGCCAGATCACAGTGTGACACAGTTGTGTCTTTCACATCTCCCCAAGCTTAGATGTGCCTAATTCGGAACATAGTATGTGATAGATACAGTTCGTAGCTCTCTTGATTGTACTCACCAACAGGGCCTGTGATGTAACAAACTATTAATAATGAGTTTGTTTATTAAACAATATTGTCAAGTCAAGCAGCACGAATAATTTTATTAAACAACAGTATAGAAACACTTCATTATCTTATTGCTGGCTATTCATATATTCCACGATAAGTTCTTTAATCTCTTCTAGCAAAGCAAAACCAAAGTTTAATATATTTGTTCTAGCGAAGGAGAGTTCTTGTCAGCCGCCCTCTCAAGCGTCTAGGCACTGACTGTCCCTTCTCTCCCCTCCATCGCCCTTTTCTTCTCACCCGCCCCTTCTCTCTTCCCGGCGTGGTTTATCAATCACCGTCTGTCACCCTTCATCCTGTTCCATGTTTTCGTCGTCAGGTGGTTATTTGCATTCCTTGATTCTCTCGTGGTTTGTCTTATCTATCTGACACCTGCCTCTTTCCTCCTTGAGCACTTTTCCACCTCAGTCTCTCTAGTGCATCTTCGTGTGGTCTTTCCTGACCAGCTTTCCAATCTAGTTTCTTGGCTTTCCCGCTTATCATACGTATACATCTGTCAATGTCAGATGTCACAGCTTTATTAAATTTGGATAAACGCACTCTATTCAACCTGGTCACAGTGCACCTGTTTCTACGTACTCCCGCAAAGGTTACTGGCATATCTGTTTGGCCTTGTCTGACCAGCGTTCTAATCAGCGTGTTCTATCATACCACCCAGTGATGGATTGGCATGCATTGATGCTGGTCTGGATGTATGCATTCTTCATTTAACCCCTTCCTAAACCATATTTCACTTCAATAGATGAAGGTTGTCTTTTTGGATTACTTGCTTTGCTTCATAGATGGCACTTTTGTCTTGGCCGTAATAAAATCAGTCTCATTACTTAATTGTTGGACCTTTGTAGTTTCATGATTTAACTCATTCAGCCCCAGATTTTGTGTTTGGTACTGTTTATGTATGTTTGTGTCAGCATGTTTGGAGAAGTATGGAACTGACGACCTCTGATCCCCACTCAGGCTTGGCCTATATTCTCAAGCTCCTGGACCAATACTACGAGTTTGACTCACTTCACTGGTTCCAGTCAGTCCGGGACAAGTACAGCAAAGAGAAGGTCAGTGTTAATGTGAGCAACATTTGTGCTATATTCTCACATGAACGGACTGGAGAAGGTCGATGTTGATATGAGCTACATTTGTGTTATATTCTCACATGTACAGGATGGAGAAGATTAGTGTTGGTGTGAGCTACATTTATGCTATATTCTCACATGTACAGGATGGAGAAGGTTGGTGTGAGCAACATTTGTGCTATATTCTCACATGTACAGGAAGGAGAAGGTTGGTGTTGGTGTGAGCTACATTTGTGCTATATTCTCACATGTACAGGATGGAGAAGGTTGGTGTTAGTGTGAGCTACATTTATGCTATATTCTCACATGTACAAGATGCAGAAGGTTCGTGTTAGTGTGAGCTACATTTATGCTATATTCTCACATGTACAAGATAGAGAAGGTTCGTGTTAGTGTGAGCTACATGTATGCTATATTCTCACATGTACAGGATGGAGAAGGTTGGTGTGAGCTACATTTGTGCTATATTCTCACATGTACAGGATGGAGAAGGTTGGTGTTGGTGTGAGCTACATTTGTGCTATATTCTCACATGTACAGGATGGAGAAGGTTGGTGTGAGCTACATGTATGCTATATTCTCACAAGTACAGGATGGAGAAGGTTGGTGTGAGCTACATTTATGCTATATTCTCACATGTACAGGATGGAGAAGGTTGGTGTGAGCTACATTTGTGCTATATTCTCACATGTACAGGATGGAGAAGGTTGGTGTTGGTGTGAGCTACATTTGTGCTATATTCTCACATGTACAGGATGGAGAAGGTTGGTGTGAGCTACATGTATGCTATATTCTCACAAGTACAGGATGGAGAAGGTTGGTGTGAGCTACATTTATGCTATATTCTCACATGTACAGGATGGAGAAGGTTGGTGTGAGCTATATTTGTGCTATATTCTCAGATGTACAGGATGGAGAAGGTTGGTGTTGGTGTGAGCTACATTTGTGCTATATTCTCACATGTACAGGATGGAGAAGGTTGGTGTTATTGTGAGCTACATTTATGCTTTTTCGCACATGTACAAGATGGAGAAGGTTCCTGTTAGTGTGAGCTACATGTATGCTATATTCTCACATGTACAGGATGGAGAAGGTTGGTGTGAGCTACATTTATGCTATATTCTCACAAGTACAGGATGGAGAAGGTTGGTGTGAGCTACATTTATGCTATATTCTCACATGTACAGGATGGAGAAGGTCTGTGTTGGTGTGAGCTACATTTATGCTATATTCTCACAAGTACAGGATGGAGAAGGTTGGTGTGAGCTACATTTATGCTATATTCTCACAAGTACAGGATGGAGAAGGTTGGTGTGAGCTACATTTATGCTATATTCTCACAAGTACAGGATGGAGAAGGTTGGTCTGAGCTACATTTATGCTATATTCTCACATGTACAGGATGGAGAAGGTCGGTGTTGGTGTGAGCTACATTTATGCTATATTCTCACAAGTACAGGATGGAGAAGGTTGGTGTGAGCTACATTTATGCTATATTCTCACATGTACGGGATGGAGAAGGTTGGTGTGAGCTACATTTATGCTATATTCTCACATGTACAGGATGGAGAAGGTCGGTGTTGGTGTGAGCTACATTTATGCTATATTCTCACATGTACAGGATGGAGAAGGTTGGTGTTGGTGTGAGCTACATTTATGCTATATTCTCACATGTACAGAATGGAGAAGGTTGGTGTTAGTGTGAGCTACATTTATGCTATATTCTCACAAGTACAGGATGGAGAAGGTTGGTGTGAGCTACATGTATGCTATATTCTCACATGTACAGGATGGAGAAGGTTGGTGTGAGCTACATTTATGCTATATTCTCACATGTACAGGATGGAGAAGGTTGGTGTGAGCTACATGTATGCTACATTCTCACATGTACAGGATGGAGAAGGTTGGTGTTGGTGTGAGCTACATTTATGCTATATTCTCACAAGTACAGGATGGAGAAGGTTGGTGTGAGCTACATGTATGCTATATTCTCACAATTACAGGATGGAGAAGGTTGGTGTGAGCTACATTTATGCTATATTCTCACATGTACATGATGGAGAAGGTTGGTGTGAGCTACATTTATGCTATATTCTCACATGTACAGGATGGAGAAGGTTGGTGTGAGCTACATTTATGCTATATTCTCACAAGTACAGGATGGAGAAGGTTGGTGTGAGCTACATTTATGCTATATTCTCACTAGTACAGGATGGAGAAGGTCGGTGTTGGTGTGAGCTACATTTATGCTATATTCTCACAAGTACAGGATGGAGAAGGTTTGTTGTTGGTGTGAGCTACATTTATGCTATATTCTCACATGTACATGATGGAGAAGATTAGTGTTGGTGTGAGCTACATTTATGCTATATTCTCACATGTACAGGATGGAGAAGGTTGGTGTGAGCTACATTTATGCTATATTCTCACAAGTACAGGATGGAGAAGGTTGGTGTGAGCTACATTTATGCTATATTCTCACATGTACATGATGGAGAAGATTAGTGTTGGTGTGAGCTACATTTATGCTATATTCTCACAAGTACAGGATGGAGAAGGTTGGTGTGAGCTACATTTATGCTATATTTTCACATGTACAGGATGGAGAAGGTTGGTGTGAGCTACATTTATGCTATATTCTCACGATGGAGAAGGTTGGTGTGAGCTACATTTATGCTATATTCTCACAAGTACAGGATGGAGAAGGTTGGTGTGAGCTACATTTATGCTATATTCTCACAAGTACAGGATGGAGAAGGTTGGTGTGAGCTACATTTGTGCTATATTCTCACATGTACAGGATGGAGAAGGTCGGTGTTGGTGTGAGCTACATTTATGCTATATTCTCACATGTACAGGATGGAGAAGGTTGGTGTTAGTGTGAGCTACATTTATGCTATATTCTCATTAGTAAAGAATTGTTTATTTATGAAATAGTTGAATAATTATAAAAATGGATATTGCAACAACTTGTATCACTTGATGTCACCTTGTAGAGTTTGCTTGTTTTGTTACAACAGTCATCTTGTGCTGCCATATTGTGGGTGAGACAACTAGGAGGTCTTTGAGAAATACAATCATATATTCCTTGTATGTGTTGTATATTATTTTATGTAAGCTGTTCCCAAACTTGTTTAAATTGTTTATTGTTTTGTAAGTTGTACCCACACTTGTATATGTTGCATATTGTTTGATGTCAATTGTTCCCACACATCTTTATGTTGTATGTTGTTTGACATCAACTATGTATATTATTTATCATCACCTTTTCTCATACTTGTATATTGTTTGACTTCAACTGTTCTCACACTTGTATATTGTTTGACTTCAACTGTTCTCACACTTGTATATTGTTTGACTTCAACTGTTCTCACACTTGTATATTGTTTGACTTCAACTGTTCTCACACTTGTATATTGTTTGACTTCAACTGTTCTCACACTTGCATATTGTTTGACTTCAACTGTTCTCACACTTGTATATTGTTTGACTTCAACTGTTTCCACACTTGTATATTGTTTGACATCAACTGTTGTATATTACTCGACCTCAACCGTTGTATATGTTGTATATTATTTGACATCAGTTGTTCTCACACTTGTATATTGTTTGACATCACCTGTTCTCTCACTTGTATATTGTTTCACATCAACTGTTCTCACACTTGTATATTGTTTGACATCACTTGTTCTCACACTTGTATATTGTTTGACATCACCTGTTCTCACACTTGTATATTGTTTGACATCAACTGTTCTCACACTTGTATATTGTTTGACATCACCTGTTCTCACACTTGTATATATTGTTTGACATCACCTGTTCTCACACTTGTATATATTGTTTGACATCACCTGTTCTCACACTTGTATATATTGTTTGACATCACCTGTTCTCACACTTGTATATATTGTTTGACATCATCACACTGTATATGTTCTCACACTTGTATATATTTGTTTGACATCACCTGTTCTCACACTTGTATATATTGTTTGACATCACCTGTTCTCACACTTGTATATATTGTTTGACATCAACTGTTCTCACACTTGTATATATTGTTTGACATCACCTGTTCTCACACTTGTATATATTGTTTGACATCACTTGTTCTCACACTTGTATATATTGTTTGACATCACCTGTTCTCACACTTGTATATATTGTTTGACATCACTTGTTCTCACACTTGTATATTGTTTGACATCAACTGTTCTCACACTTGTATATTCTTTGACATCAACTGTTCTCACACTTGTATATATTGTTTGACATCAACTGTTCTCACACTTGTATATATTGTTTGACATTAACTGTTCTCACACTTGTATATATTGTTTGACATCAACTGTTCTCACACTTGTATATTGTTTGACATCACCTGTTCTCAGTCTTGTATATATTGTTTGACATCAACTGTTCTCACACTTGTATATATTGTTTGACATCACCTGTTCTCACACTTGTATATTGTTTGTTGACATCACCTGTTTCTCACTTTTCTTTGTATATATATGTTTTGACATCACCTGTTCTCACACTTGTATATATTGTTTGACATCAACTGTTCTCACACTTGTATATATTGTTTGACATCATCACACTGTTCTCACACTTGTATATATTGTTTGACATCACCTGTTCTCACACTTGTATATATTCACACTTGTTCTCACACTTATATATTGTTTGACATCACCTGTTCTCACACTTGTATATTGTTTGACATCAACTGTTCTCACACTTGTATATATTGTTTGACATCAACTGTTCTCACACTTGTATATATTGTTTGACATCAACTGTTCTCACACTTGTATATATTGTTTGACATCAACTGTTCTCACACTTGTATATATTGTTTGACATCAACTGTTCTCACACTTGTATATATTGTTTGACATCAACTGTTCTCACACTTGTATATATTGTTTGACATCAACTGTTCTCACACTTGTATATATTGTTTGACATCAACTGTTCTCACACTTGTATATATTGTTTGACATCAACTGTTCTCACACTTGTATATATTGTTTGACATCATTCTCACACTGTTATATTGTTTGACTTCACTTGTTCTCACCACTTGTATATATTGTTTTGACATCATCACACTGTTCTCACACTTGTATATATTGTTTGACATCAACTGTTCTCACACTTGTATATATTGTTTGACATCAATGTTCTCACACTTGTATATATTGTTTGACATCAACTGTTCTCACACTTGTATATATTGTTTGACATCAACTGTTCTCACACTTGTATATTCTTTGACATCAACTGTTCTCACACTTGTATATATTGTTTGACATCAACTGTTCTCACACTTGTATATATTGTTTGACATCAACTGTTCTCACACTTGTATATATTGTTTGACATCAACTGTTCTCACACTTGTATATATTGTTTGACATCAACTGTTCTCACACTTGTATATATTGTTTGACATCAACTGTTCTCACACTTGTATATATTGTTTGACATCAACTGTTCTCACACTTGTATATATTGTTTGACATCAACTGTTCTCACACTTGTATATATTGTTTGACATCAACTGTTCTCACACTTGTATATATTGTTTGACATCACCTGTTCTCACACTTGTATATATTGTTTGACATCAACTGTTCTCACACTTGTATATATTGTTTGACATCAACTGTTCTCACACTTGTATATATTGTTTGACATCAACTGTTCTCACACTTGTATATATTGTTTGACATCAACTGTTCTCACACTTGTATATATTGTTTGACATCAACTGTTCTCACACTTGTATATATTGTTTGACATCAACTGTTCTCACACTTGTATATATTGTTTGACATCAACTGTTCTCACACTTGTATATATTGTTTGACATCAACTGTTCTCACACTTGTATATATTGTTTGACATCAACTGTTCTCACACTTGTATATATTGTTTGACATCAACTGTTCTCACACTTGTATATATTGTTTTTGACATCAACTGTTCTCACACTTGTATATATTGTTTGACATCAACTGTTCTCACACTTGTATATATTGTTTGACATCAACTGTTCCACACTTGTATATATTCTTTGACATGTATATATTCTTGACCTCAACTGTTATACACTTGTATATATTATTTGACATCAACTGTTTCTCACACTTGTATATATGTTTTTGACATCAACTGTTCTCACACTTGTATATATTGTTTGACATCAACTGTTCTCACACTTGTATATATTGTTTGACATCAACTGTTCTCACACTTGTATATATTGTTTGACATCAACTGTTCTCACACTTGTATATTCTTTGACATCAACTGTTCTCACACTTGTATATGTTCTCACACTTGTATATTCTTTGACATCAACTGTTCTCACACTTGTATATATTGTTTGACATCAACTGTTCTCACACTTGTATATATTGTTTGACATCAACTGTTCTCACACTTGTATATATTGTTTGACATCAACTGTTCTCACACTTGTATATATTGTTTGACATCAACTGTTCTCACACTTGTATATATTCTTTGACATCAACTGTTCTCACACTTGTATATTCTTTGACATCAACTGTTCTCACACTTGTATATATTCTTTGACATCAACTGTTCTCACACTTGTATATTCTTTGACATCAACTGTTCTCACACTTGTATATATTGTTTGACATTAACTGTTCTCACACTTGTATATATTGTTTGACATCACCTGTTCTCACACTTGTATATATTGTTTGACATTAACTGTTCTCACACTTGTATATATTGTTTGATATCACCTGTTCTCACACTTGTATATATTGTTTGATATCACATGTTCTCACACTTGTATATATTGTTTGATATCACCTGTTCTCACACTTGTATATATTGTTTGACATCAACTGTTCTCACACTTGTATATATTGTTTGACATCAACTGTTCTCACACTTGTATATATTGTTTGACATCACCTGTTCTCACACTTGTATATTCTTTGACATCAACTGTTCTCACACTTGTATATATTGTTTGACATCATCTGTTCTCACACTTGTATATATTGTTTGACATCACTTGTTCTCACACTTGTATATATTCTTTGACATCAACTGTTCTCACACTTGTATATATTCTTTGACATCAACTGTTCTCACACTTGTATATATTCTTTGACATCAACTGTTCTCACACTTGTATATATTCTTTGACATCAACTGTTCTCACACTTGTATATATTCTTTGACATCAACTGTTCTCACACTTGTATATATTCTTTGACATCAACTGTTCTCACACTTGTATATATTCTTTGACATCAACTGTTCTCACACTTGTATATATTGTTTGACATCAACTGTTTCCACACTTGTATATTGTTTGACATCAACTGTTGTATATTACTTGACCTCAACCGTTGTATATGTTGTATATTATTTGACATCAGTTGTTCTCACACTTGTATATTGTTTGACATCACCTGTTCTCACACTTGTATATATTGTTTGACATCAACTGTTCTCAGTCTTGTATATATTGTTTGACATCAACTGTTCTCACACTTGTATATTGTTTGACACCACCTGTTCTCACACTTGTATATTCTTTGACATTAACTGTTCTCACACTTGTATATATTCTTTGACATCAACTGTTCTCACACTTGTATATATTGTTTGACATCAGCTGTTCTCACACTTGTATATTGTTTGACACCAACTGTTCTCACACTTGTATCCTGTTGGACATCAACTGTTCTCGCACTTGTATATTGTTTGACATCCACTGTTCCTACACTTGTACATGTATATTGTTTGACATCAGCTGTTCCCACACTTGTATATTCTATATTGTTGTACATTGTATGATATCAGCTGTACCAATTCTTGTATATGACATATTTGACATCAAATGCTTCCATACTTAAATATGATATGTTATCAGCAACTGTTTCTACATTTGTAAATTACATGTTTTTCGACAGCAACCTATTCCACTCTTGTATTTTTTTTTACAGCAAATATGTCCACACTTGTAAATGAAATGTTGCTTGACATCAAATTGTTTCACAGTTTATGTATGTCATGTTGTTTGACATCAAATTTTTTTCCAGTTGTATATGGTGTCATTTGATCTATTGACAGGAACATGTAGCTAAACAAGCAGGCAGCAGAGATGAGAAGTTACAACAGACCACATCTTTGACATTGAGACGCTTGGACCAGTATTTACAGGTGAGGCAGACTAGTATTTACAGGTGAGACAGACCAGTGTTTACAGGTGAGACAGACCAGTATTTACAGGTGAGACAGACCAGTATTTACAGGTCAGACAGACCAGTGTTTACAGGTGAGACAGACCAGTGTTTACAGGTGAGACAGACCAGTGTTTACAGGTGAGACAGACCAGTGTTTACAGGTGAGACAGACCAGTATATACAGGTGAGACTTAGACCAGTATTTACAGGTGAGACAGACCAGTATTTACAGGTGAGACAGACCAGTATTTACAGGTGAGACAGACAAGTATTTACAGGTCAGACAGACCAGTATTTACAGGTGAGACAGACCAGTATTTACAGGTCAGACAGACCAGTATTTACAGGTGAAACAGACCAGTATTTACCGGGGAGACAGACCAGTATTTACAGGTGAGACTGACCAGTATTTACAGGGGAGACAGACCAGTATTTACAGGTGAGACAGAACAGTATTTACAGGTGAGACAGACCAGTATTTACAGGTGAGACAGACCAGTATTTACAGGTGAGACAGACCAGTATTTACAGGTGAGACTGACCAGTATATAAAGGTGAGACAGACCAGTATTTACAGATAAGACAGACCAGTGTTTACAGGTGAGACAGACCAGTGTTTACAGGTGAGACAGACCAGTGTTTACAAGGGAGACAGACCAGTGTTTACAAGTGAGACAGACTAGTATTTACAGGTGAGACAGACCAGTGTTTACAGGTGAGACAGACCAGTGTTTACAGGTGAGACAGACCAGTATTTACAGTTGAGACAGACCAGTATTTACAGGTGAGACAGACCAGTATTTACAAGTGAGACAGACCAGTATTTACAGGTGAGACAGACCAGTATTTACAGGTGAGATAGGCCAGTATTTACAGTGAGACAGACTAGTATTTACTTACAGGTGAGACTTAGACTAATGTTTACAGGTGATACAAAGACCTGTGTTTGTCAACCTGTTTACACCTGAAAAATGGCATTGTGGTGCTGGGGTGTCTGTGGATTACCTACCTCCCCGGGCAGCAGCTAGAAATGCCCTGTACCAGTTCTAAAGGAAATATGGGTTGTGTTTCTGCCACCAAGTAGCAAGGAAGAATATTAACCTGAGGTTAGACAAACACCAAGTGATGAAAGAAGAGCATCCCACATACCTTGGAGTCACACTTGACCGGCAGCTCAGCAAGAACCATATTGAAAACGTCAGGAATAAGGCATTGAGGCGGTTACAGTTATTAAAGAGACTTGCAGGTACATCATGGGGATCAGACAAGGAAACTCTGAGGGGCTTATATCTAGGATATGTTCGCTCTGTGATAGAGTACAACAACTCACTGCTTACAACTTGCTCCAAAACTAACCTAGAGACTCTTGACAGAGTACAAAATAATGCCCTCTGATTAATCTGCGGAGCTATGCAGTCTACACCAACTGCTGCATGTGAAATCCAAACAAAATGTGGAACCCCTCGGGTTACGGAGAGAAAAAGCAACTTTAGACATTTATGAAAGATGTGTTAGGAAAAATCGTAACCATCCTAATAGACACCTTGTAGAAAACTGGGAATACAAACAAAGAATAAAGCACAAATCGGTTTTACACTGTGTTAATGAAATTAAGGACAGATGCCACCTCCCAGAAAAACGTCAAGGAATTCAGAATGTTGCAAGAAACCTACCACCACATGCTCGCTTTAAAGCTCCAGAAATCCGAATTAAATTGGTAGGCGAGGAAACCAAACAGTCCGACCTAATCGCTCTTATGAACTCATCACTAGAGACCGTTGATTCTTACCCCCAAGAATGGATACATGTCTATACTGATGGATCAGCATTTAAAGCTACCATTAAAGCAGGTTACGGAATCTACATAGGTTATCCCGATGGATCTGTTGAAGAGATTTTTAATGCATGCGGGGAATTCTGTTCAAATTCTGAAGCTGAAATAACTGCACTGGAAACAGCAGTATACCACCTAAAGACTGTAATGGATGTTTACCTTTCAAAGGTCCAAAATATTGTCATCTTCACAGATTCAGTGTCTGCCCTTCAAGCTCTGGAGGGCAGTGAACGCTGCAGAACTGACATAGCCAAGATAATCCTGGATACTGATCAGCTTATTACCTCATACAACATCAGAATAGTGATGCAGTGGATTTCAGCACACCAGGTAATGACAGAGCTGACAGATTGGCAAAGAAAGGAGCAGCACAAGAACAACCACCTACAGCGACAACCCTCCAGACAGCAAAAACACTGATAAGAGCTATAAACAAAGATACTTGGTTGAACAGATGGGCCATGGGAGACACTGGAAGAGAGGTTTATAGACACATGGCTGGCCCTGATACTAATGACAGCATTAACCATCTAACAAGAAGGGACCAGGCCACCATCTTCAGACTTAGAACGCAACATACTCCACTCAATGGACACCTAAACAGAATACAGCCACAACACTCCCCAGAGTGCCAGCTATGTAACTACCCCTACGAAACTGTTGAACACCATCTCTTTGAGTGCCCAAAACTCAGTGAGACAAGAAGAACGCTACTCCCTCCGAGACCAGGCAAGTGGAACACCTTGTACGGAGGAAAAGAACAGCTTGTGAAAACATGCAAATTGCACTACATGGCGTTGGGCCAAAGGGCGAAAGCTCATGAGACTCTGGATCGATAACAACAACAACACCTGAAAAATAGGATGAGTAAATAAAGTTTATTAACCAGTTAATGGCAAGAAACAAACAAATAGAGATTTTTTTTTTTTTAATAAACAAATAGAAATGTAGATTGCAATTTAATTATAAATTGTTACAAAAATAGACTGTATTTTATTGATTGAATCTAGTTTTGTAAAATTATCAGTTTTAGCTAATGAACACACACACACACGCACACGCACACATGTACATGCACAGACACACATACACCCACTCACATACATCCACTCACATACACCCACTCACATACACCCACTCACATACATCCACTCACATCCATCCACTCACATACACCCACTCACATACATCCACTCACATACACCCACTCACATACATCCACTCACAAACACCCACTCACACTCATCCACTCACTACACACACTCACATATACCCACACACATACACCCACTCACATACATCCACTCACATACATCCACTCACATACATTCACTCACGTACATCCATTCACATATATCCACTCACATACATTCACACACATACATTCACTCACGTACATCCACTCACATACACCCACTCACATACATCCACTCACATACATCCACTGACATACATTCACTCATGTATATCCACTCACATATATCCACTCACATACATCCACTCACATACATCCACTCACATACATCCACTCACATACATTCACACACATACATCCACTCACATATATCCACTCACATATATCCACTCACATACATCCACTCACGTACATCCACTCACATACATTCACTCACGTACATCCACTCACATATATCCACTCACATACATTCACACACATACATCCACTCACATACATTCACACACATACATCCACTGATATACACCCACTCACATACATCCACTCACATGCATTCACTCACATACAGTTTTCATTTTTTGTTAGTATCATTGTCCTAGCACATCGGTCCAACCCATTCATGCTCCATTCTCTAATGCCTCAGCCATATGTTCCTTTCTCTGATGCTGAAGCCATATGCTCCTTTCTCTGATGCTGAAGCCAAATGCTCCATTCTCTGATGCTGAAGCCATATTCTCCATTTTCTGATGCCTCAGACATATGTTCCTTTCTCTGATGCTGAAGCCATATGATCCATTCTCTGATGCTGCAGCCATATGCTCCATTCACTGATGCCTCAGCCATATGCTCCATTCTCTGATGCTGAAGCCATATGCTCCATTTTCCAATGCTGCAGCTGTAAGCTCCGTTCTCCAATGCTGAAGCCATATGCTCCATTCTCTGATGCTGAAGCCATATGCTCCATTCTCTGATGCTGAAGCCATATGCTCCATTCTCTGATGCTGAAGCCATATTCTCCATTCTCTGATGCTGAAACCATATGTTCCTTTCTCTGATGCTGAAGCCATATGCTCCATTCTCTGATGCTGCAGCCATATGCTCCATTCTCTGATGCCTCCTACGTATGCTCAATTCTCCAATGCCACAGCTATATACTCCATTCTCCGATGCTAAAGCCAAATGCTCCATTTTATGATGCTGAAGCCATATGCTCCATTCTCTGATGTCAAAGCTGTATGCTCCATTCTCTGATACTGAAGCCATATGCTCCATTCCCTAATGCCTCAGTCATATGCTCCATTCTCTGATGCCAAAGTCATATGTTCCATTCTCTGATGCCAAAGCCATATGCTCCATTCTCCGATGCTGAAGCCATATGCTCCATTCTCTGATGCCTCAGCCATATGCTCCATTCTCAGATGCCTCAGCCATATGCTCCATTCTCCGATGCTGAAGCCATATGCTCCATTTTCCAATGCTGCAGCCGTATGCTCCGTTCTCCAATGCTGAAGCCATATGCTCCATTCTCTAATGCTGAAGCCGTATACTCCATTCTCTGATGCTGAAGCCATATGCTCCATTCTCTGATGCTGAAGCCATATTCTCCATTCTCTGATGCTGAAACCATATGCTCCATTTTCCAATGCTGCAGCCTTATGCTCCGTTCTCCAATGCTGAAGCCATATGCTCCATTCTCTGATGCTGAAGCCATATGCTCCGTTCTCCAATGCTGAAGCCATATGCTCTATTATATGCAGACTCAGCCATATGCTCCATTCTCTGATGCCTCCTACGTATGCTCAATTCTCCGATGCCACAGCTATATACTCCATTCTCCGATGCTAAAGCCAAATGCTCCATTTTCTGATGCTGAAGCCATATGCTCCATTCTCTGATGTCAAAGCTGTATGCTCCATTCTCTGATACAGAAGCCATATGCTCCATTCCCTAATGCCTCAGTCATATGCTCCATTCTATGATGCCTCAGCCATATGCTCCATTCTCCGATGCCTCAGCCATATGCTCCATTCTCCGATGCTGAAGCCATATGCTCCATTTTCCAATGCTGCAGCCGTATGCTCCGTTCTCCAATGCTGAAGCCATATGCTCCATTCTCTGATGCTGAAGCCATATACTCCATTCTCTGATGCTGAAGCCATATGCTCCATTCTCTGATGCTGAAGCCATATTCTCCATTCTCTGATGCTGAAACCATATATTCCATTTTCCAATGCTGCAGCCGTATGCTCCGTTCTCCAATGCTGAAGCCATATGCTCCATTCTCTGATGCTGAAGCCATATGCTCCGTTCTCCAATGCTGAAGCCATATGCTCTATTATATGCAGACTCAGCCATATGCTCCATTCTCTCATGTATGTATGTATGTGTTTAAAGATGTAGATGTATGTATAGATGTGTGTATGTATGTGGATATCTGTATGGGTGATTGTATATGTGTGTATATGTATGTAATATGTGTGGGCATGTATGTGGGTGTATGTATGCATGCATGTGTGTATGTATGCATGTTTGTGGTTATATATATGCAATTGTAGCAGTGTAAGTATGTGTGTGTATTTAGGTATGTATGCAAGTATGTATGTATGTGTGTAAAGATGTAGGTGTATGTATAGATGTGTGTATGTATGTGGTTGTATGTGTGTGTATTTACGTATGAATGCAAGTATGTAAAGATGTAGGTGTATGTATAGATGTGTGTATGTATGCATGTATGTATGTATATATGTATGCATGTGAGTGTAAATGTGTGTATGTCGGTGTCTGTACATGTGATTGTATGTGTGTGTATGCATGCATGCATGTGTAGGTGTGTATGTAGGGAATTAATGTGTGTGTGTGCATGTATGTGTGTCTGTTTTCTATTTGTGCATGTCTATGTATAGGTGTGTGTTTTCTGTTTGTGTGTGTGTATGTAGATGCGTGTACGTAGATGTGTGTATGTATGTATTAGGTATGTCTGTTATTGAATGTGCATGTATGAGATTGTAAGAGTATATATATACATGTGTGTGAGTGTGTAAGATTGTGTACACATGATGTGTGTATGCACTATTATATAATGTATATTTCTTTATTATATCTTAAATGAGTCGTGATTCAACTTGAAGCTACGCTTCCAACTATCTTGAAATGATTCTTGGGTTGACTTGAAATGAACCTCGATTTACACCGACTTTAAATGCACTTTGTCTCACTACACATTGGCTTTAGCCACGGCTCACTCTCTGGATGTTTACTGCTACAAAACTTGCACTACTTTAACGTCTAGGGTTGACAACACAAACGCCGCTCAGCTTCTTTGTACATTCTGTCAGTTTATTCTGGTCCATTTATTTCACATGTTCAAACATTATTCGCACTTCTATCACTCGCGACATATTCGAACACTAAACATTCGCGCAACATAATGACGACATCTTCAATTACTACAACCGTCTTCCCTGACTTCTGATGATCGTTGAGATATTTTTTTTCATAGACCAAAGTCTCACCTTTTACAGGATAATTACCCAACCCCAAGGAATCCAACATGAAAACAATGATAGTTGAGATATATTTTTCATAGATCTTAGAGTTTCCTCCAAGTCTATAACACCTTTAACAGGGTAGTTAACCCCAAGGAATTTCAGACACCTTTCCCCCTTTAGATGGACACAGATGAGTTCAACTCCTCTACTATGCTTGTGCTTTGATGTGTGCACTCTTTCTTTACCATCAGTCTATCTAGTCAGCATCAGTATAATTATGGCAGTTTATAATCTTGGGTGTCGTGGACCAATTTACCATGTCCCTGTGCTGTACACCTATGCTAAAACATTTCATACCATGCATTATTGATAACAGGCATTGGTACTCTGAAAAATGAGTGCTTAGAAGAGCCTAATGTCAGACGGGCCTGCGTGCCCAATTTGTAACCCTCGAAAATAAAGTTAGTTCGTTCGTTCTTTCGATGCTGAAGCCATATGCCCCATTCTCCAATGCCTTAGCCATATGCTCTATTCTTTGATTCTTTATTCTGATTCTGCATGTATGTCTGTGTGTGTATGTGTGCGTGTGTGACTGTATGTGTGCCTGTGTGTGTATCTGTGTGTTTCCCTGCCTGCGTGTGTTTATGTGTTTGTGTGTGTGACTTTGACTGCATGCGTGTGTGTCTGTGTGAGTTTATGTCTGTGTGCGTCGGTGTGTGTTTGTATGGGTCTTTTTGTGCGGCTACGTGTGTTTATGTATGTGGGTGTGTCTGTGTGCATGGTTTAGGAATGTGTGTATGTATGTATGTATGTGTGTGTCTGTGTGCATGTTCTTATGTATGTGGATGTGTGTGTGTATTGAGTGCCTATGTGTGTGTATGTATGAGTGAATGGGTTTGCGTGTGTATGTGGGTGTGTGTTCGCACGCGAGCGTGCGCACATATTTTACCACCCAAGCTTTAGTTTTTGAATTGATATTCATAGTATGCATATTATTACATGAACACAACATGCTTTATTGATGAAATACAACTGCTGTGTGAAAGATGAGAGTTTGGAAGGGCCGAATGTAAGATGAGTGCCTCATTTGTAACCCTTTGAAAATAAAGTTCGTTCGTTCGATTCTGAAGCCATATGCTCCATTCTCTGATGCCTCAGCCATATGCTCCATTCTTTGATGCCTCAGCCATATGCTCCATTCTCCGATGCCTCAGCCATATGCTCCATTCTCTGATGCTGAAGCCATATGCTCCATTCTTTGATGCCTCAGCCATATGCTCCATTCTCTGATGCCTCAGCCATATGCTCCATTCTTTGTTGCCTCAGCCATATGCTCCATTCTCTGATGCTGAAGCCAAATGCTCCATTCTTTGATGCCTCAGCCATATGCTCCATTCTTTGATGCCTCAGCCATATGCTCCATTCTCTGATGCTGAAGCCATATGCTCCATTCTTTGATGCCTCAGCCATATGCTCTATTCTCTGATGCTGATGCCATAGGCTCTATTCTCTGATGCTTAAGCCATATGCTCCATTCTCTGATGCTGAAGCCATATGCTCCATTCTCTGATGCTGAAGCCATATGCTCCATTCTCTGATGCTGAAGCCATATGCTCCATTCTCTGATGCTGAAGCCATTTGCTCCATTCTCTGATTCTGAAGCCATATACTCCATTCTCTGATTCTGAAGCCATATACTCCATTCTCTGATTCTAAAGCCATATACTCCATTCTCTGATTCTGAAGCCATATGCTCTATTCTCTGATGTTGAAGCCATATACTCCATTCTCTGATTCTGAAGCCATATGCTCTATTCTCTGATGTTGAAGCCATATGCTCCATTCTCTGATTCTGAAGCCATATACTCCATTCTCTGATGCTGAAGCCATATGCTCCATTCTCTGATTCTGAAGCCATATGCTCCATTCTCTGATGCTGAAGCCATATACTCCATTCTATTCTGCCTCAGCCATATGCTCCATTCTCTGATGCTGAGGCCATATTCTCCATTCTGTGATGCCTCAGCCATCTCATTGTCTCCATGCTGAAGTACCAAGTAGGAGTTGAATGGTATAATTTCTTTCTTTGCCCCGCAGCCAGTTGCTGCATGCATGTTGTTGTTTAATACCCAAAAGGCAGTTCATTGTCTCTAACATCTTTATCTTCAAGTCTGCAGAATGCAGCACATTCAGTATGTCTGCCCTGTTGGTATGTCTTCCTTCATCAGCCACTGCAGACATGGCCAGTCTTTGAACTCTATCGCACATACTGATCATGTATATTTCTAGACACATTCATTGGCGTGTGCGCACACACAGACACGCACACTCACACATACACACTCACACATACACACATGTGCTATGATTGCTTGATTGTTGAGCACCATCAATATTGCACTGATGTATTTGCTGTTAGAGACTTGAACTGTCTGTCTGCAGGAGTATGAGCTGCTATTCTATTCACTGAGCAGTGCCAGGATTTTTTTTAGAGCAGACTTGACAGCAGCAGAGGAAGAGAAGGACAGTGCTAAAGACAGGGGTGAGTTGTGTGTATTGGAAAGACATCAGTGAGTTGTGTGTATTGGAAAGACATCAGTGAGTTGTGTGTATTAGAAAGACATCAGTGAGTTGTGTGTATTGGAAAGACATCAGTGAGTTGTGTGTATTGGAAAGACATCAGTGAGTTGTGTGTATTGGAAAGACATCAGTGAGTTGTGTGTATTGGATGGACATCAGTGAGTTGTGTGTATTGGAAAGACATCAGTGAGTTGTGTGTATTGGATGGACATCAGTGAGTTGTGTGTATTGGATGGACATCAGTGAGTTGTGTGTATTGGATGGACATCAGTGAGTTGTGTGTATTGGATGGACATCAGTGAGTTGTGTGTATTGGATGGACATCAGTGAGTTGTGTGTATTGGATGGACATCAGTGAGTTGTGTGTATTGGATGGACATCAGTGAGTTGTGTGTATTGGATGGACATCAGTGAGTTGTGTGTATTGGATGGACATCAGTGAGGTGTGTGTATGTGTATGCAGCAAGCCAGCAGTGATTTGAATGTTTAGGAAAGATGGTGGTGAGTTGTGTTTGTGATGGCAAGACAGTGGTGTGTATGTGTGTTGGAAAAACAGAAGTGAGTTGTGTGTGTGTGTGGAAGAGACAGTTGTTTCTTGTGCATGTGTATGGGAAAGACACAGGGGTGAGTTGCGTATGGAAAAGACAAGAGGTGAGGTATGTGTTGAAAAATGTAGGGGTGAGTTGTGAGTGTAGGAAAAGAAAAAGGTGAGGTATGTGGGAAATACAGGGGTAATGTGTGTGTTTGGAAAATACAGAAGTGAGTTGGGTGTGTAAGAAAGACAAAGGTGAGGTATGTGTGATGTTTTGTGCTGAATTCACTTGCTGATCAATAGTACCAGAAGCAGAGGCACAGTTGCCTACGCCAGTCATAAAGGCAAGGCACTGGATAAAGATTGTCACAGAGATGAGTGCAAAAAGTCTACTCTATGCACAAACTTGCGAAAGAGTTTTTTTTTTTTTAGTTTCATGACTAACAGTGGGTTGCACGTGTTTAGCGAGAACCATGCGGGAGCCTGACGCTGAGCAGGAGGGAAACTGTGCTTGTCCAGTTAGTGCCTCTTAGTCATTCAGAGTTTTTAGCAGTAATTATGTGTATCATTTTAGTCCAGTGAAAGTTAAGCTTGTTAATTAGAATTTGGTGTATGAGTCTAAATGTTCCGGTTACGCATATTTTATGGAGACAAGGCGTTGAGAACTCAACATGTTATTTGGCACTATGATCAAGAGAAGTCATCCGGTGGGTTGTGGCTGAACTGCGAGGACATGATAGTGTCGTTCCTCATCAGGATTCTGACTCGACTTTGTGTCAGGAGACTTGGTATGCCTGGGACATAGTCTCTAGTCAGTTATTATGTATAGGTTATTGGTGACCCAAAGTGTGGGCAAATAACAAAAGCGGTCATTAAGGCTACTGGTGACCACAAGAGTGGGCCAGTTGGCCAAAGCCATATGTTGTGGACTCACGTCAGGTAGAGGCTAGATGTTCCCTTTTCATGTGGCACCACCTTGGAAGCATATCAGTGTGTATAGGTGGGGCATTAGGTGGACAGTCGTCTTGTATCACCAGCTCATTTTCATGGTCACACTGTTTCGTCCAAATAAACAGACTGATACACAATTATAGAGATGACTCTTTCCATATTGTTGATGTGCTCGTCTGCTGACTGTTATTGGTGGCAGTTATTGGTGACAGTTATTGGTGGCAGTTATTGGTGACTGTTATTGGTGACTGTTATTGGTGGCAGTTATTGGTGGCTGTTATTGGTGGCAGTTATTGGTGGCTGTTATTGGTGACTGTTATTGGTGGCAGTTATTGGTGGCTGTTATTGGTGACTGTTATTGGTGGCTGTTATTGGTGGCTGTTATTGGTGGCTGTTATTGGTGGCTGTTATTGGTGACTGTTATTGGTGGCAGTTATTGGTCACTGTTATTGGTGACTGTTATTGGTGGCAGTTATTGGTGGCTGTTATTGGTGGCTGTTATTGGTGGCTGTTATTGGTGACTGTTATTGGTGGCAGTTATTGGTCACTGTTATTGGTGGCAGTTATTGGTGACTGTTATTGGTGGCTGTTATTGGTGACTGTTATTGGTGGCAGTTATTGGTGGCTGTTATTGGTGGCTGTTATTGGTGACTGTTATTGGTGGCAGTTATTGGTGGCTGTTATTGGTGACTGTTATTGGTGGCTGTTATTGGTGACTGTTATTGGTGGCAGTTATTGGTGGCTGTTATTGGTGGCTGTTATTGGTGACTGTTATTGGTGGCAGTTATTGGTGACTGTTATTAGTGGCTGTTATTGGTGACTGTTATTGGTGGCAGTTATTGGTGGCTGTTATTGGTGGCAGTTATTGGTGACTGTTATTGGTGGCAGTTATTGGTGGCAGTTATTGGTGGCAGTTATTGGTGACTGTTATTAGTGGCTGTTATTGGTGGCAGTTATTGGTGGCTGTTATTGGTGACTGTTATTAGTGGCTGTTATTGGTGACTGTTATTGGTGGCAGTTATTGGTGGCAGTTATTGGTGGCAGTTATTGGTGGCAGTTATTGGTGGCAGTTATTGGTGGCAGTTATTGGTGACTGTTATTGGTGGCAGTTATTGGTGACTGTTATTGGTGACTGTTATTGGTGGCTGTTATTGGTGGCTGTTATTGGTGGCAGTTATTGGTGACTGTTATTGGTGGCTGTTATTGGTGACTGTTATTGGTGGCAGTTATTGGTGGCTGTTATTGGTGGCAGTTATTGGTGGCAGTTATTGGTGGCAGTTATTGGTGGCAGTTATTGGTGGCTGTTATTGCTGACTGTTATTGGTGGCTGTTATTGCTGACTGTTATTGGTGGCTGTTATTGCTGACTGTTATTGCTGACTGTTATTGGTGGCAGTTATTGGTGACTGTGAACAGTGTTAGTTTAGTACTCTCAGGCAGGGAACCCATTTAGTCACCAGAAGGTCAGTTTGGGGAACTTTTGCATTTAGGAGTCACCTTTATCAGTCACCTTTAGACACCTGGTCAGGAGGCGAAACGCCCTTCATATTGCTTCGCAACATGTGAGAAAAGAGGAGTGAGTTGTGAGTCTGGAAAAAGACAGAGCTGAGGTATGTGTGGGAAAGACAGGGGTAAGGTGTGTGTTTGGGAAATACAGAAGTGAGTTGGATGTGTGGGAAAGAGAGGGGTGAGTTGTGTGTGAAAGACAGAAATTAGTTATGTGTGTATAGGGTAAGATAGGGATGAGTTGTGTGGAAAATGCAGGGGTGTGTTTTGTGTGTGGGCCAGATAGAGGTAAGGTTTGTGTGGGAAAGACAAGGGTGAGTTGTGTATGTGTGGGAAAAACAAAAGTGAGGTGGGTGTGTGGGAAAGTTAGGGGTTAGCTGTGTGTTTGGGAAATACAGAAGTGAGTTGGGTGTGTGGGAAGGACAGTAGTGAGTTGTGTGTGTGTGCATGTGTCTATGTGGAAAGGTATAGTTAAGATCTCACAAATCTGTGTAAGACTAGGTGGAAAGGTATAGTTAACATCTCACAGGTCTGTGTGAGCCTAGGTGGAAAGATATAGTTGGCACCCCACTGGTCTGTGTGAGACTAGGTGGAAAGGTATAGTTGGCACCCCACTGGTCTGTGTGAGACTAGGTGGAAAGGTATAGTTAACTTCTTACAGGTTTGTGTGAGACTAGGTGGAAAGGTATAGTTAACATCTCACAGGTCTGTGTGAGACTAGGTGGAAAGATATAGTTGGCACCCCACTGGTCTGTGTGAGACTAGGTGGAAAGGTATAGTTAACATCTCAAAGGTCTGTGTGAGACTAGGTGGAAAGATATAGTTGGCACCCCACTGGTCTGTGTGAGACAAGGTGGAAAGAATTTGGAGAAACAACAGCTGATCAAGGATATGCATTTTACTTTAGTGGAGAGGATAGAGGAGTAAATGACTTTGGCTGTCTTGTGCATAAGAATATTAGAAAAACACTATTATTGGATGCAACCCTGTCTCTAGCAGACTCATATCAATATGCTCAAATGCAACCTCTTCCAATATTATGTTTATACAAGTCTATGCTCCAGCTACAGACTACGATGACAACTCTATTGAGATTTTCTATAACTAACTCAAAAATATTATTGACAAAATGCCAAAAAAAGATGTACTGATAATCCAGGGAGAGTGGAATGCTTAGGTAGGAACAGATGAGCAGGCAGGCTGGAAAGACACATGTGGACCTTTCTGCGACAAAATCACCAACCTCCTCTTGGCTAATACATTACACAAGCACAAGGCATCAAGAATTTGGACATGGCACTCACCAAATGACAAACATCACAACCACATTGACTACATACTAGTCCAAAAACATTTTAAATCTGGGATCAACAAAGCGAAGACAAGGAGCTATCCAGGGGCTGATATAGGAAGTGACCACAATATGATGCTGCTTCATTTGAGGATCCACCTCAAACATTCAAATCATGCTAAGACCATACGACTGAAATACGACATTGACAAACTAAAAGTTGTTGGTATGATGTCTGCCTTACAATTGCAAGGTCCTGAGTTCAACCCCTACATGACTTTTTTTTTTTTCAAAAGTAAATTTTAAAGTTCAACTCTCAGCACTTTTAGCAATGGATTACCAAATTACTAATTAATTAATTAAATATCCTGTCACGTGCGTTAAGGAGTATTCTATGTTTCCCCATTGCTTTGTTTGACGTGGAAGGGTGGTTGGTGTACTGTGTATTTTTCACCCTGCAATATTTGTATGGTTTTGTGTAAGTCTACATTTCCTTTATATAAAATGGCACGAAAATTAGAGTTGAGGAAGAACTGATGGAGGTTTTTTTCGAGGAGTGATATTGAAGATGACTTTGAAATGTGTACTTCTGATAGTGAGCAGGAAAATCCGACTAGGCCATCAATATCAACTTTATGAACCGGCGTGGCCAAGAAAAGGTTGTCGGCATTTTCCTCTTATTAAGATGTGGTTG